ATTGGGGGGAATCGGGGTGATGGGAGCTATAGGGGATATAGGGTGTATAGAGGCTATAGGATGTGTAGGAGCTATAGGGTATATAGACACTATAGAGAATACAGAGGCTATGGGGGCATAGGGGCTATACAGAGGCTATAGGTTTTATAGGGGCTATAGGGAGTAGAGGTGCTATAGGAGGTATAGGGGCTATAAGGAATACAGAGACTATAGGGAGTATAGAGGCTATAGGAGGATAGGCGCTATAGGGAGGGTAGGCTATAGGTTTTATAGGGGCTATAGGGAGTGGAGGTGCTATAGGAGGTATAGGGGCTATAGGGGGTATGGAGGCTATAGGGAGTATAGGGGCTATAGGGAGTATAGGGGCTATAGGGGGTACAGAGGCTATAGGTTTTGTAGGGGATATAGGGTCTATAGAGACCATAGGGGGTATAGGGGCCATAAGGAGTATAGGCGCTATAGAGTGCATAGAGACTATAAGGAATATAGAGGCTATAGGGAGTATGGGGGGCTATAGGCGATATAGGGGCTATAGGGTGTATAGAGACTACAGGTAATACAGACACTATAGGGAATATAGAGGCCATAGGGTGCACCAGGGCTATAGGGGGTATATAGGGACTATTGGAGGCCATAGGGGATATAGGGGTTATAGGGACTGAGGGGGGTTATAGCAGCTATGGGGGCTATAGGGGCTATAATGGCCATGGGGGCTATAGGGACTGCTATGGGAGGGGGCTACAGGGGAGGCCATGGGGTGTCTATATGGGAAGGGGCTGCTGGGGCCCTATAGGGCAGTTGCTATGGGAGGGAGTCTATATGGGGGCCCTATAGGGGCTGCTATGGGGCATGGGGGCTGCTATAGGGGCCCTTATGGGGCAAGATCGCACTTGGGGGCTATAGGGGTAGCTTTAGGAACCTATAGGGGCCCTATAGGGCCTAAGGGGTCCTAGAGGCTCCTATGGGGTCCTATAAGGTCCTAGAGGGTCCTATAAGATCCTAGGGGGTCCTATAAAGCCCCATAGAGTCATAGAGGGCCCTAAAAGGCCACAGCAAGTTCTATAAGGTCCTAGAGGGTCCTATAAAGCCCCATAGGGTGCTGAAAGGTCCCATAGGGTGCTATAGGGTCCCACAGGGTGTTGTAAGGCCCCATAGGGTGCTGTAAGGTCCCATAGGGTGCTATAGGGGCCCACAGGGTGTTGTAAGGCCCCATAGGGTGCTGTAAGGTCCCATAGGGTGCTATAGGGGCCCACAGGGTGTTGTAAGGCCCCATAGGGTGCTGTAAGGTCCCATAGGGTGCTATAGGGGCCCACAGGGTGTTGTAAGGCCCCATAGGGTGCTGTAAGGTCCCATAGGGTGCTATAGGGGCCCACAGGGTGTTGTAAGGCCCCATAGGGTGCTGTAAGGTCCCATAGGGTGCTATAGGGTCCCCTAGGGCGCTATAGGGTCCCATAGGGTGCTATAGGGTCCCACAGGGCAATATACGGTCCCATAGGGTGCTGCAGGGCCTATACGGTCCCACAGGGTGCTGTAAGGTCCCATGGGGCGCTATAGGGTGCCATAGGGCGCTATAGGGTCCCCCAGGGTGCTGTAAGGCACTATAGGGTCCCATAGGGTGCTATAGGGTCCCATAGGCCACTATAGGGTCCCCCAGGGTGCTGTAAGGCACTATAGGGTCCCATAGGGTGCTATAGGGTCCCATAGGCCACTATAGGGTCCCCCAGGGTGCTGTAAGGCACTATAGGGTCCCATAGGGTGCTATAGGGTCCCATAGGCCACTATAGGGTCCCCCAGGGTGCTGTAAGGCACTATAGGGTCCCATAGGGTGCTATAGGGTCCCATAGGCCACTATAGGGTCCCCCAGGGTGCTGTAAGGCACTATAGGGTCCCATAGGGTGCTATAGGGTCCCATAGGCCACTATAGGGTCCCCCAGGGTGCTGTAAGGCACTATAGGGTCCCATAGGGTGCTATAGGGTCCCATAGGCCACTATAGGGTCCCCCAGGGTGCTGTAAGGCACTATAGGGTCCCATAGGGTGCTATAGGGTCCCATAGGCCACTATAGGGTCCCCCAGGGTGCTGTAAGGCACTATAGGGTCCCATAGGGTGCTATAGGGTCCCATAGGCCACTATAGGGTCCCCCAGGGTGCTGTAAGGCACTATAGGGTCCCATAGGGTGCTATAGGGTCCCATAGGCCACTATAGGGTCCCCCAGGGTGCTGTAAGGCACTATAGGGTCCCATAGGGTGCTATAGGGTCCCATAGGCCACTATAGGGTCCCCCAGGGTGCTGTAAGGCACTATAGGGTCCCATAGGGTGCTATAGGGTCCCATAGGCCACTATAGGGTCCCCCAGGGTGCTGTAAGGCACTATAGGGTCCCATAGGGTGCTATAGGGTCCCATAGGCCACTATAGGGTCCCCCAGGGTGCTGTAAGGCACTATAGGGTCCCATAGGGTGCTATAGGGTCCCATAGGCCACTATAGGGTCCCCCAGGGTGCTGTAAGGCACTATAGGGTCCCATAGGGTGCTATAGGGTCCCATAGGCCACTATAGGGTCCCCCAGGGTGCTGTAAGGCACTATAGGGTCCCATAGGGTGCTATAGGGTCCCATAGGCCACTATAGGGTCCCCCAGGGTGCTGTAAGGCACTATAGGGTCCCATAGGGTGCTATAGGGTCCCATAGGCCACTATAGGGTCCCCCAGGGTGCTGTAAGGCACTATAGGGTCCCATAGGGTGCTATAGGGTCCCATAGGCCACTATAGGGTCCCCCAGGGTGCTGTAAGGCACTATAGGGTCCCATAGGGTGCTATAGGGTCCCATAGGCCACTATAGGGTCCCACAGGGCGCTATAGGGTCCCATAGGGCGCTATAGGCTCCGTGTCCCCGCAGGAACCACATCCTGGTGATCGCCATCGTCTTCCAGGTCTCCATCGGCTGCTTCCTCTGCTACTGCCCCGGGATGCCCTATATCTTCAACTTCATG